CCGAGGAAATGCCAAAGGTCAGTCGAAAATTTAATAAGTAAATTACTTCAGCTAGGGGAAAGAGAAAGCTTTTTCATTTGGGAAAAAATAGGGGTAGGGATAGGATTACACGGGGTGTAAAATAAACATCCCATTTTCTTCGATTTTATTATTATACTTATCGAATAATTTAACCTGGTTTAAATGTCCAGATTTAACATTTTTAATTATTTAATTAATTAAAGATAAATTCATATCATTTTAGTTGAATTAATTAACTAAACAGCACGTTTCCAATCTTATTGTTTTTCTAAATTAGTGTCCATACGTGAATATATCGGAGACCCAAGTAATACGCCAAATTTCTGAACTATGATCAACTATGTAAGAAGATGGGCTTGTATAGTTTCCAAGTGGAACTTAAGACCCGCGTGTCCCACGAATACCTGTCTTGGATTTTAGTAAATTCAAAGTCACGTACCGGTAGACACACAGGCACGAACCTTTCGCGTGTCTGTTAACATTCTCTGTTATAACGATGCAAAACTTTAAATAAAGTACATTACGTGTAACATTGTTACTATGTATTATTATTATGTGTAATTCCAGTGTCACATTATTTTGGTTTCCAATGAACTTTGAAATTACTAAATCGATTTTAATGAAAATGTTTAGATTTTGTGTGTGTGTTTTTTTTTTCAATTTAGGATGTAGGATAGTTCTTATCGCGTTTATTTTGTATTTTTATCGCTAATTTTAGGATTTATTATTTATAGGTTATCTAGGTTTTTAGGTACTGTAAATTTTCAATAGATGGTGCTATATTGCAATTCAATTATTTCACGTTTTTTTCAGATTTATATATGACACAACCTAACATTGCTTTTGATATTTTTTCGAGTATTATTATTTTATGTATTCAATTATAATTGTGGTATTATTATGTGTGTAGTTTATTTATATATTATATATTTTTTATTTAGAAGTTATCTAAGTCTCTAGGTTTTATAAGTTTTCAATAGTTGGCGTTGTATTACAATTCAATTACTTCGATAAAACTAACCTTACTTTTTATATTTTTTCGAGTATTATTATTTTATGTATTCCATTATTAATTGTAGTATTGTTTTGTGTTGTTATAATTTACTAAATAATTTAGAATTATATTAAATCAATGTTTTTTATAACAAAACCACAGTAACATGTGGCCGCAGCATCCTACTGCTTTTCTTTTTTGATTATTGAGCCTATTTTACAAATTGTTCTTTTTGTTTTTTTTTTCTGTATATGAACGAATTTATTTAAGACGAGATACAACTATTATAGAATCGATTTTATTCACGAAAAGCTCTCGTCTTTAAAGATCTGACACAAAAGGGGGAAGATTTGGGGTACGTGGTTTGAGATAATCAATAACTCGGTTATAAACTTCGAAGGGTGAACGTGTTTAGATGGATTAGTAGTTTTATACAGTTCTTCTATATGGTGTTACCATTTTATATTTATATTATTATCAATATTCAAGTCATTTCTATTTTTTTTTAAATTACCCTAGAGCTCCTTTATATTTTTTTCCTATAAAATGTTTTTTTATGACAATTAATTTCATGTAGTACATGTTATTACAATTGACAAATGAATTTACACCAATTTTCAAATAAACAGTTCATTCATTGTTTATAAACGAATTGTTTAAGAATATTTGTGTGCATGCGATTTTTTTTTTACTTTACTTTTGAAAGAAAAGAAGAAGACCCTCACTTTAAGAAAAAATTAGTCAAATTTTTGATAACCTGAGACTACATGTGTTCCTTTAAGACAGATGCCACATTAAAATTTGTACCTTTTCATTCTTACAAAAAGTATACGAAAAATATACTCTGACCAACGTTTTTGAAAACGTATATTTCTTCTATTCGTTGTTCTCATATTACTTAGAATTTTCTTTTTTGCATTCTCGTCACACGACACCCGAGAAAACGCCCAATAAACGTACGTATAATCCGTGTTGAAACTAGCACGTCATTCGATGTAATTAGGGTGGTGTTTTACAAAAAGGTCTATTCGAGGGGAATAAGGTGGACCACAAAATACTATTGCTATCCTGGTTATTAAGGAGAAGGGGGATAGTGGGGAACAAAAATCTGAAGCTAACTTTCATTGGTAAAGTTCGGTAAGGTAACATTATCGTAACGGGATACTACAGGGGGGCTTTGCATTAGTGAGTTTATTCGTAAACTTCGTTTGAAAGATACGAACTTTCCATAGGGTGAAGTGAGGTAAGGGATGAGAGGGTAGGGGGTTCTCATTGTATCATTTAGTTGAAAATATTTCTTTATATGGAAAAGAAAGAGAGTACTCGTACGTTATGTAGAGAAAAAATGTGAATATTAGTGAATATTTTTTAGAAAATTAATTTAACGTATTTTTTTTTGTTATTATGTTTTATTTAGTAATAAAGATTTTGATTATTTTTTTTTTTTATTTATTATTTTTAATTTATTTTGTAATTTGTCCAAGGTGGATATATTTGACAGATCTGTTGTTAGCAATAAGTGCAATTATATTTGTAATTATATATACAATTTAATAAATATTTAATTTATTATATTTATATATTTTTTATTTATTATAATTTAATAAATAATTAAAAAATATTACATATATATTATATATTATTATTATATATATAATATTAATTTTATATAATTACATATTATAATTATATTATATGTATAACATATAATTTAATTATTTTTACTTATTATTATTTATTTAGTTATTATTATTATAATATATATGTATATATTTTGTGTTTTAAATGAAAAAGCAATTACCAAATTTAAATAAAACAAAAAACATTTATTGCCGATCTTCGCGAGTTCAAATTTGTGCTACGTAAAAAAAGATACAATGTTCAAAGATAAAGAAATAAACAAAACAAAACAAAACAAAACAAAACAAAAAGTGTATTATATAAGTCAATCGTTTAAGTTAGAATGTTCCTCCCTACCCTTTTCCACTTCTCCCTTTCCTCATCCTTTTCCCCATTCTTCGATCATCGAACGTTTTAATCGAAAATGATAAGCGATCAAACTCACGGATTGAACACACGTAAAAAAAAAGGTTTGTGATGCCGATTTAATCGCGATTGAAATGTTGAAACAAAAGAGATAGGATAGGGATAGGTTGTTTTTCGATCGTTGAACGTTAAAAGAGAAAGAAAGAGAAAGAGAGAAATAGAGAGAGATAGAGAATGAAGTTAAAGGTGGTGTTCGTTCGTACGTTGGTTCGTACGTTCGTTGGTTCGTTGGTTGGGTTTGTTGGTTGGGTTCGCGAGTACTATGATGAGACAGAAGGAAGGATCGCGTGAAAGATCACGTTCGTTTCGAAGTCATCCCTCGCAATCATCGATGTCACGGTGCGATTAAGATCCATCGTGATAAAAGTCGCAATCGTTCGTCGATAGCCAAGCTGTTATTACGTGTCTCATTGAAAAATAACTATGAAGAAAGAAAGAAAAGAAAAAAACAAATAAAAAAAGAATAAAATAAAATGACGAAGAAGAAACATGAAGAATATGAAGAAGAGAAGTTTTTATTTTTGTCTCGTAAAATAGATATAGGCATCCCTTGAATAACACGGCTAATTGGTTCCGTCTTATTCGAAATAGTGTTATTCAATATTAATAAATCATACAATTTTGGAGATAATGTTCCGTGCTATTAAAAACTCGAGATCCATACAAATTTGTACATTTGGTTACCAAAGATTAATTAAGAAAACATTGAAAATAAGAACAACATTTTGTTGTATTTTTCGTTGTTATTCGAGGGTTGTCGCAATTTTTAACCGTGCTATTCGCAATTTTGTACAATTCAAGTACCGTGCTATTCGCAACTCTGTACAATTCAAGCACCGTGCTATTCGAAACTTTGTATAATTCAAGTACCGTGCTATTCGAGGGATGACTGTACTACGATAAAAGAATAAAATAAAAAATTAACAACACATGCGTGCATGTTTTTTGTGTAGAATGTAGGTACACGTATGTGTATGTGTGTGATTTGTTACTTCCTATTGAAATGAAATATTTAAAGAACCAGTTAGATTTCCGTTGATAATAATCAATGGATATACTTATAGATGTGTGTGTATAGTAATTGAAAATCATGCGTCGTGTGATCTCCTCTCGTTGATTTCTAATAGAAAATAATATAAGAACAATTCGAATGTTACAGTAAAACCGCTTTTAAATGACTTGTCATTTGTCGTGAAACGTTATGGTGTAGTATTGCGTACGAGTAGAAACATAATTGTGAGTTTTAGTTTTTAGAAGATAGCGAAAGTTAAACTTATTATATGATAGTTTCGTTTAAACGAGTAGTATAATCATAGTTCGATACCTATTATTATTATTGTTATGATTATTATTACTATTATTATTAATTGGATTATAACTTTGATTTGACAATAACTCGTTGGGACAAAAAACTTCAACTATTTTTGTTCGAATTAAATAATTATTTTTTTCATAAATATATTTATCTATCTAAAATTAATATTAATTAATTTTATTTTTATAATAAATTTTAAAATTATATTAATCAAGATTTATAAGAGTTTGTGTTAAAAATTTGCAATTTATACAAAATTTAAAATAACGTAATATATCTAGAGTTATTCTAGTTATTTACTAAGAAAAATAATATTCTTCTAAGATTAAAAAATAAATAATTAAATAAAAAAAAAATATAAACAAAAGTATATCGAATTTTTACCACATGGAAAATATATGTATCAATAATTAATATTAATTTATTTTTATTTTTATAACAAATATTAAAATTTTATTAATCAAGATCTTTAAACTCACTGTTAAACGATTATCCAGATAATATAAAATAACGTAATATATCTAGGGTTATTCTAGTTACTTTTTAAAGAACGATATTCTTTTGCAAATAATAAATAAAAAAAACAATAAAAAGAAAATAAAGAAAAGTGTATCGAATTCTTACCACATGGATGCCTTCGGTGTCTCTTCTGAGATCACCGCTCCTCTGTCCCGCCGTGACGGCCGCACTCAGGTGATTATAGTGATGCTGATGAAGCGTGTTCAATGTCTGCGTGTAAGGATCACCGACGAGGTAATCCAGGTGTTGAGGTTGCCCAAGACCCGGATGCTGTGGGCTAGCGGGCGCGTGATGATGCGACGGGAAAGGCGGTGGAAAGTATGGGGGTTGAAAGTCTGACGCCGTTGGCAAAGATGCACCACCATGATGGGGCATACCGCCACCGTTTCCATTCCCCCGATGACCATGATGATGAGCACCGGAGTATGGTGACGAATTTCCGCCGCCAAGCGAAGAAATGCCACCATGACCAGTCAATCGGTCCTGTAAACAACATGTCAAAAACCATTTTTATTTTTTTTTATATTTTGAGTAGTTGTCGAATTATTGTTACATGGTACTTATTATTGCTAATATGTGTGTGGTCATTTGTTCATTATTATTAAATTATAATGGTCAATTGGTTCTGTGGGTACAACACGTCAAACCATTTTATTTTTTTATATTTCGAGTATTGCTGTTAAATTTCAAATAAAATGTTCAATTTATTATAAAATAATAAATTTATAATTAATATATTAATATAAATTATAATAATAAATATTAATATATTAATATATTTATATTTTAATATATTAATATATTTATAATTTATATATTAAAATAATAAATTTATAATTTATTATTAATATTATATTAATTTTTTTATATTCTTATTTATTATATATGGGGCATTCCACGTCAAATCGGCCACTTTTGACCCCGACCCCTTTCGATTTGGCTGAAAGTTTTTTATCCTATTCTACCCTATGAAAAACAATTTTCAGAATTTGTAAAAATTTTTTTATCAAACCCAAAAAAATTATTAATTTTTGAAAAAATGGCTCCTTTTTTTGGAATGGCTATAACTTCTTCAAAATTCAAACTATTGAGACGTTTTTTTTTTTAAATTTGTGTTTTTAAATGTAATTTTCAGAAAAAAATACAAAAAAATTTTTAAATTATAGAATCCATGAAATTTTCGCATTTTTTGAGAAAAACCGTTATTTTCTGGAAGTTCCCCATTTTTCATTTTTTTTTTCTAAAAAAAAACTTTGACTAATTCTGCGATTATCCACGCCAGTCCCAGAGTGGGCCGAGTTAGTTTTTTATTTTTTTTATTTAATTGAAAACAAATTTTTCAATTTTCAAAATTTAAAATGTTTTTTTTTTAAACTTTGTATTTTGAGACTATAAATTAAGTATATAATATTGTAAAGGTGTTTACTTGCATTAATTTTATTATATAAACGAAATTTTGTTGTTGTTGAAAAAATGGCTCTTTTTTTAATAATAAATAATTGAACGATTAAATAAATGTTCGATTTGTCGAATAAATCGACACTTTATTTAAACAAAACATTGAATATAGCGATGAAATAAAACAGATTTCTCTGTTCTCGTAGAAGAGTATTAACTCACTGTTAAGATAATATCATGAGTCCTCGTATCTGTAAATCGGTGGAAAGGCTTTTGCTTCGGCTAAGAACGATTCAAACGAACGATTCAAACCATTAGGTGTCTTTTTCTTTTTTATTCAATGCGATACCATCTAGAACGTCTTTATAAACCCAAGAGTCAATGTAAAAGGGCTAAATCCTCGACTAACTTTTATCTATACCGACGTATCTGTTTGACGTTTCTCCAACTAAATCGTATAAAACGTTACCAATGGTGTTACAAACAATTTTTCAATGATTTTTGTTAGGCAAAATCGATTGACAAGTATAGTAATTTGTATAAAATACAATTTGTCAATCAATTTTAAATATCTGTTTAACGTTTCACTAATTAAATCGTATAAAACGTTATCGAACAATGTTGCAAACAATTTTTCAAAGATTTTTGTTAGAAACTTGACAAGTATAGTAATTTGTACAAAATACAATTTTTTATTAACTTTTAAATATATTTTTGACGTTACACCAATTAAATTGTATAAAACCGTCGACCATGATAATGATATTAATAATAATTATTATTATTATAATAATAGAAAATAAAATTTGTCTTAATTGATTAAAAACTTTCTGTTTTACAATTAATTTTATTTAGAAAAAGGAAAGTGAATAATCTTCGTTTAGATAAACGTTGAATTTTTATTAACTAATTTTCCAATTTGAATTTTATAAATGACAGTATTAAATTGTTATTAAAAGATATCGAATTTAATTAAAACTAGATGTGTTATCTTTTAGCATCACATGATTCTTATCATTTAGTTTATTTCAAAACTTTCGTATAATTCAATCAAAATTTCATTTGAAAAATGTCTTATTTGATATTTCGTAAAAATGTAAAGGGCAATGCATCGATTGACACCTTTTTAAAAATCTCTCTCAATTTGATTCATAAAAAGATAATTAAAAAACGTGAAAGATAACTTAAATATCTCAAAAAGCGTTGAATATTTTCTCTTATCTTTAAGAACCGGACGATTGCTGAGAAGAGTTGTAACGTAAAGGATCATTGACTTCATAAATAAAAAGAATAAAAAAAAAATAAAACATGGCAAATTTCGTTGCTCGATAAAAGTGGTGGAAGGATGTCCTCCGGTGCTCCCGTAGGAGAAAAAATTTCTCGCGAACAGGTTCTTTTACGGTCATAAAGCAACACATGAAAAGAGAAAAATTATCCCTTTCGAAAGATTGAACAACCTTTGAGATCCTTTTTTTTTAACAATCTCGTAAAAGTTTCTTTTTTTTTATTTTGTTACGGGATTACGTTTAGTGTCCTGTCGTTTAAATCTTTTATTTCTACAAAATATTATGTATATTGTTCTTATTTTTTTTTTATTTCAAACAAGTGACACATTTATTATGTCACACATAATCATTGATACCAATTATAAAAAATAAAAGATAATCCAAAGATATTTAAAAGTGAATGAATGAAAATTCATTCAGTTTAGTGTTTTGTATTTTGTTTGTTTTCATTGAGTTTTCTTCATTTATTCACTTTTGTATTTGTATTTTGAGTAAATTACTATACCTGTTGACTTTTTAGTTGTTATTTCTTCTAATTGACTTAAATAAACGATATTTAAATGATTGTTTTTATTGATTTTGGCTGTAGTATAAGTGGTCAACTACTAACGAAAAAACTTGTCAATTATTGGTTTCTCCAGTTTCACAAATGGTCAACTGCTTGACTGCAATAATCGACTTTCCATGTTTATTATTTTCGTGTAACACAATTTTTTTCGAAAAATATCCTTTGTTATATGACGTCCGAAGTTGAAAGAATATCTTCACGTATTGGAACCTACTATTCAATAAAAATGTAATAAAAATTACCACCATTTAAGATCAAAATTTCTCTTAACTGGTCAACCACTGGTGTCTTCATCTTAATTATCAAATTAAATTTAAAAATAATTTTGTTTATTTGGTCTCTTTCTTTCTCTTAATTTTTTTTTCTTACGAATTGTATAGAGAGAAAATTCATGAAAAATATTGAAAATAACCGGTAGTTAGAAAACATCTTTATGAGTATATATACATGATTTTTCAAGGATTTTAATAGCTTTTAAATAAACACGTTTTATAGCGGTACTAACGTGTAACGATTTCTTTAACGAGTACCGTTCATAGATATCGACATCATCGAAAATGAAAAGGACTATTATTATTACTGTTGTTTTATATTTAAAACAATAAAAAAAATTACAATAACAACGTGACGTACTTACAAAATAATACAAAGAATTAAAAAAAAACCAATCCATATTTAAATGAAAGCTTGGACCGAACTTTTCTTTTCTTGCTTTTTATTCTCAAATTGAACGATACCACACAACTGTGTTTTAAACTACCATGTTTTATCGTAAAATTAGAAATTTAATAGACGTTGCTAGTCTTGGACGTGATAAATGGCAATTAAATTCAAATTGAAATATCATTATGATTCATAGGAAAATTAATATTAGTTTTTTATTTTGATTGATGTGATAATAAAGAAAGCATGAACAAATTTGTTTATAGACACGTGTATACATCAAAACATCTCACGATGATTATCCTTTCACATTACGTTTGGTAGACGAAAATTAATTATTTTTTTAAATTTAAAATAAATTTACGTGTTGCATTTATTTCTAAACCTAATAGAAAATTTGTTAATTTTTACATTCAAATTTTTCTCGAATTTTAGGAACTAGTAAAACATCGGAGACAACTTGTAAGGTAAAAAGGGTAAAAAAAGATATTAATGGTAGATGGTCGGGTAGGTGGTATTAGGGGTTGAAGAAAATATCCCACCTCAACTTCGATGACCGTGGTCATGTCAACGTGTGGCGCATAACAGAGCGCCAGCTTGTCAGCTGTTGGCGCTTCCGTGCGCGGTGGAAACATCCCTAGGATCTCCAGCTTGTCCTTTTTCTTATTTTTATTTTTAAAGTATCCCCAACTCTCTCAATCCAAACTTCTTTTAACGCGAAATCAATTCTTACGAACGATTAGAAAAAAAATTGATCAATCGATGCACTTAAATTATCTTTTTGTTTTGTTTTAAATTCCTTTCTTTTATCTTTCACACTTTTTCACTTTCCTTTTTATCTATCTCTTCAGATGATCTTCTTCTTCTTTTCACAACACAAGATTTCACAACACCCTTCGTCATCCCTTTTCTCCCCTTGTTTCCTTTCGCAAACGAATTCCGCCGGGGGTTTCGGATAAGGCACTCGGACGAATGAAATTTTGTTTTGTTTTTACCCACTGACCCGCATTTAGCTTATAATAATAATATTATTATTATTTTTCTACCTTGCTCGCATGATTTTTTTTTTGGTGGAAGAGAAGAAGGTTAGGAGGGGGGAAAATTTCATAAACGCGTTAAATATTTTAATCGGTGCAATTGATCACAGCTCGTAGTTGGTGCATTAACGCGGGAAAATTGAAATAACAAAAACACGAGTATGACAACGATGACGGTTTCATCATCATTACGTTGATTAAAAATTATAATCAATTTATATACTGTATAGACAACATTTTTTCTTATTTTTTTTTTTTTAAATAATATATAGAATCGTATGATTGTAAAATTCTTAAAGTAAAAGGAACAATAGTAAAAAAGGGTTGAGGTTTTTGCGAACAGGTAATATGAGACTAGTATATCTATATATATATATATATTTTTTTTTAATCCTTTTAATCCTTTTCTCTCTCTCTCTCTCTCTTGTTTTAGAGAAAAAAAAATAACCGTTGAAAGAAACAGCTGATCGGTTTGCGATAGTACGAAGTGTCGCGACCAACCATCCGATCGACTGATGAACCGACGACGAC